TCTTCTCTTTTTACTCGCTTTTTTCTGAGAAAATAACAAAAAAGAAAACCACTACTCAGGAGAATTACTTCTACATTTCTTAATAGTTCTGCTTTCCATCGCTAGATGGAAGCACATAATGTTTTTTGTGTGTTAACTACGACAGTTTGGACTTTTCACTTCACAACAATGATATCTGACAAACCAATTTCGCTAAAAATAAGTAAATAAATAAAGAAACACAACAACAGTAAAAAGAACCACGTTAACTGGCGAAGCACTGATGTTTTTAGGCCTAAAAGAAAATGGATTAAATAACCCTTGACTTGAGCGTGTTTTCTTTACGTTTCTCATTACGGATTTTCAGTTGGAGATGTATTACAATACTGTTTATGGCTCTGTTTTCAATGTTTTAACTTATATGTTAGCTAGAAAACACGTGTACATTAAGTCCTAGAAAACCTAACCTAACACGTTCAGGAATATAGAGATCAAGCGCTTTTGGGAAGTGTCTAGAAATTAGGCTACAGATATAAATACGAGTATATAGCTAGTTCTGGAATGATGAATATTGAATGAGTATTGGGTAATAATATTCAGTTGGTTGTATTTTGCTAGCAATGAATCAGTCATTTACTGAAGTATTTAATATTTGGATCAGTGTTAGTTACAGCATATATTCACTTCGTCGATCGACTTGCCGTGAAATTGTGCAAGTAAGTTTTTTTTAGTAATTTTTTATTTACGTTAGTCATGTTATTTCTATTTGAATGTGATTTGAGAAATTACTTAGGCCTGTAATTTAGTACAAGTTACAACAGTGTACAAACTTGTAAAAACGTTAAGGAAGAAATATTGACTGAACTTGTCCTATTTTCACCTCATAATTTAAAAGAAAAACACTACAATAATACTATTTTCTGAATTTAAGAAATTAATTAAACTTTAAAGAACATTTGTGCTAACGTAGTGCTTACTGATAAAATGGAATAATTCTTAGGTAAAATATATTATCATTACAAAGCGTTGTAAATTAATAGTAAATTCATTTGATTTTTAGCTTATGAAGACATATATTACGTTCTTAATTATATTTTATTACAGGGAATCATGAAAAAAACTTTTTTTTTAAATTCAAACAAAAATAACACATTTTATTAATGTTTATAATGTTTCCCCTTTTATTTGCTTTTTTTAAAGTTCCTTAAAATCTCGTCAAAGGTAAGTTATCTATAGTGCATACAATAACGAAGTGCTTACTGACAAAATGGAATAATTATTAGGTAAAATATATTATCATCACAAAGCGTCGTAAATTAATTTAATTTTTAGCTTATGAAGACATATATTACGTTCATAATTATATTTTATTACAGGGAATCAGAAAAAAACTTATTTTTAAATTCAAACAAAAATATCACACTTTATTAATGTTTATAATGTTTCCCCTTTTATTTGCTTTTTTTAAAGTTCCTTAAAATCTCGTCCAAGGTAAGTTATCTATAGTGCATACAATTCTTTCTCAACTGAACTATTCCTTTTATATATCTTGTAATTGATTTCGAATTTAACCCCAGAATAAAACATCTATTCATTCTTATTTGTGTGGTCTTTATTAATTCGTAATATCGTTTTTTCTTCCTTTTAATACTCCATGATTGGTGTATTAGCGGAAGTGATTCCACGACTAAACTGGCATTGCAGCTGATGTTCTTATAATCATAGTTGAGGGTGTTACCCAAGGGAATCGGAGGAAATATAAGTTTTGTTTTTTTGTAGATGAATTTTGTTATCGTTTTTTGATAGTAAACGTGGTTAGTGTATAGTTTTTTTCTCAATAAATCGTCAGTTAGTTGAAATCCCTCGTAAGAGGGTGAAGATGGCGAAAACCTATGATTATTTATTTAAGTTGCTTTTGATTGGAGATTCTGGTGTTGGGAAAACTTGTATTCTTTTTCGTTTTTCGGAAGATGCGTTTAATGCAACTTTTATTTCAACAATAGGTAAGTCAGCTATGTTAGGGCAGGTATATAAATTAATAATACGAGTTTTATTTCTGTTTTTGCCATAAAAATTAGAATTTTTATCGACAAAGAAAATTATGTCAACTCTCAAAAAATTTTAGGCATAAAATAACCTTAAAAGTTAAATATAACTTTACAAAAATACAAGCATTTATTTGGTTACTTCTCAGGAACACTATGTAAAAAAGATTGTTGAAAAGACAAGTGTCAGGATATTAATTATTATTTCATTAATTTAATGAAATACAACCAATGTTAATAGAAGGCTAAGGGTAAAAGTTGGCCTAGCTCATTTTAAGGTGGAATGGAATATATTATATGTCAATCAGAAATGAATAAAACCCTATAAATCAAGGCTTTCGAAAGGTGGACCTTTCTTCTTCAGGGGCAAACTGGGAATATGTCAATCAGTTAATCTTAATTGTACACCATAAATATATATATAAACCAGTTATAATGGAATCAGTTACAGTTTTTCGCTAATGCAAAAAAATAAACCTCTACTAAAATTACTAGCATATTTCTGTCTGGATTGGGAACTAAATTAAAACATGTTGTATATTAGCTGATTAATCATTCCATATAACTATAAGTATTACTTACAGTTTCTATCAGTGAGAAGATTCCTTTTTTTGATTATTCAGGGAAACATAATACAATTGCAAAGCTCAGTCAATTTAATGATTAGTGAAAGTAATTGTTATTTTTTCAATTCCAGTGTACAAGCTCTATAGCCTGCTTTAGTTGATAATATGCCTTACTCACGAATAATGCTTAATAGTCATACTTGACACAACTCAAAAGTGGCTAACACGCTGTGTAATCTTTGATAAAATTATAAATTCACTAATTGCTAACCACTCACTCATTAACTGGCTCACTGATTCTCTCAGCACACATTGTAGTTTTTGTGAAATATATATTTCACACAATCTCAAAAATTCAAGACACCATGCCAAAACTCCCCCTAGTAAATAGTTTTTGTTAAAGTTTTAATTTTTTGCTTATCACAATAATTAGCAATATGTTTTGGAAAAAAAGTTTATTTACATACCCTCCTTAAGATATAACCTTTCCCTTTTATTCCAAATATTGGTGAATAAGTCTGTTGAATTGACAAGATGGCATTAGGAGTTATGTGATAATAAATAATGTCAGTTGGTTTCAAGTTACTGTACAGTCCAGGGAGAAATATGCTGGTAAGCGTATATATATTCAATTCTTATTTTACAATATTGACAATTTCTTTGCAGTTTCATTGTCAATCTGTATAAGTGTCACCAATAAAAACTTAAGCTGGGACAAGTAGCAATATTTTGGACTGGTATAGTGAGATTGTGTACTTTTTTGCTAGCATAAAATGTACTTAACTCTTACATGTAGGCCTATCTCATTTTTGGTTGAGCAAAACTGTATGGCAAATTGTATTTTTGCTTACATAAATATCGAAAGACAACTGTGACAATTTAGGCATTCAAGTACAAAGAAACTATTCCATAGACCTGTTCAGATGGAATGGGTTTTCCTTTATCATTCCCTTTCAAATACCACTTGCACTGTGTTGTTGTTGTTTTTGGCTCGCAGACATTAAGTGTGCAAATTTAGGTTTTGCATTTATCTGGGTGCCTGCCAACAGAGATGTTTGTTGTGGGATACGCATGAGTTACTTATTTGAATTGGGGTGTTCCTAGGACCATAATATACTATTATATATTACACACTATATATACTATATATTATTTTGCCATGATCTATTTCCTTTAGGGCCTTTGGTCAGTTTATTTTTTCTTGTGTGTGTGTGTGTGTGTGGTATTAAGCTTTGGGTTGTAAATGTTTGTTTCTGGTAGCCTTCTCCTTTGAAAGGACTGTGTTTTAGTGTAATACATCTGGAGGTAGGATAATACATTTGGATTTATAATTTTAAAAAATTAAGATTTATTTCAAAAACATGCTTACTACTTCCAGTTGTTTATCACTATTCCTCCCTACTTCTAATTTGGATTTGAGGAAATGAAGGATTGTAGATATAGGCAATTTTCTTTCTAAGGATGTATAGACACAGGAAGGCTGTTGGATGGAAGATAATTCTTCTTGAGAGGAATTTATATGAACATTATTTTGTATTAAATATCACAAAATGGTGGACAAAAGTGATAAAAGATAGAGAGAAGAACAATGAAAATGTTGAGAGAAAGCTGTATATAAACACAGATTTGGAAATATGTTAATGGCAAAACAATTTGTATATTTCTGTGACAAAGCAAATTTTGCTATAATTTATCATTTCATGCATTTACATATACATTATTTAATAGCGTGAAGCATAATAAACTCATTTTCTGTTTCTGGGCATTTGTTTATCAATATGCATACATCGAATACATTGTTTTTAAGCAGAATACTTTATAAGGTATGCAGAAATTAAGTTTTCTCTATAAATTCAGATCTTGTCTACAACACTTTACATGTAATTCATGTTTATTTCTGGAATAGGAATTGACTTCAAGATTCGAACTGTAGAGTTGGATGGAAAAAAAATAAAACTTCAAATATGGTAAGTTTGGTTAAAGTTTTCCAAATATGTAAACTATATATATATATATATATCTAAAATAATACTTGACCCCTCCTCCCCCCATAGGTGGCTCAGCGGTAAGCCCGTGAGCTTATAACGTTAAAAATCGGGTTTCTATACCCGCGGTTGGCAGAGCATGGATTGTGTAGCTTTGCGCTTAACAACAAACAAACAAAAAAAATCTATCCAGCAAGGACGGTACTTACTGCTGCACACAACATCTCATAGCAACAGACCCCTAACGACCACCAGTCCGCTGGAAATGTGTATTCGTTTTAACCAGAGATGAAATTGAAAAGAAAACCTGTGACTTGTAGGTCTAGTGCAATCTTTGATTGGCCATAAAACAGACTCAAAAACCCATAGATATAATGTATATATAGTTAACATTTAGAATTTTTTAGGATGTAGGCACTAGCTGGAAAAGTGTGACATTTGGAAATCTGTATATTGGTATAACATGACCATAAAACAGACAGTAATGTAATTAAAAACAAGTTTCTATTAATATTCATAATTGTTGAGCTCAAAGAACTGTTGTACGAAAAAATGTATTGACAAGCCTTTTACTATAATATCTAGATGTATGTAGGTATATCTCATATTATTATTTAATAAATTAAAGTCACATATATTATATGATTGTTTTGTCTCTAGTTTCTGATACTATACAAACTTAGAGTTGATGATGGTTTGTCTATATATTTATCTTTTTAACATCTTTCAAATATGTTTTTGTCTAAAGCTTTTTTATGAAAATACAATATTTTGTAAGAAATTTTTTTAACTTGGTCATAGAAATCTGTATGTTATGATGTGTGTGGCCTCATTACTGGTTTGCATGGCATATGTTTGTGTGCAGATTGTCTTTAAAAAACTGAGCTTTTTGAGAAAGTTATGTCATCCTGAAAGCTAAAATTTAATTTTTGATCTATATAATTTCTGTATTTTGAACATTCTATGTGTATGTGTATTTCTATGTTTTGTGGCTTTGAGCAATGATCCATGTAAGAAAAATCTAACACTTCACTGCTACAAGTGAATGGTTTCTATCAAAGCTTTATTAGAGGTGTTACATGTGTAGAAACTCGTAACTCATTTTGTAATGCCTGGAAAATTTAGTAACTGTATGAAATACCTATCAAACTGTATTAACCATGTATTCCTACTTTTCATATTGTGTGTGTTATTAGGGATACAGCTGGTCAAGAGAGGTTTCGCACAATCACAACGGCCTATTACAGAGGAGCAATGGTGAAAATGATTTTTATTTTGTTATTCTTTTTAATATTACTGATTGGAAAGTATTGCTTTTTTGTTTATTCAGTCAAATTATTTGACATATTACAAACTTAAATTATGACAAGACACTAATAGTTACAAACTTACATTTTATTGATGGATGAAGGGTACTTGTATTTAATTATATTAAATTTGTATATTTAACAATGAGGAAAGGCACCCTTTTTTGACTGAATTTTGAAAAGTAATTTATTGCACTACTTTGTATGTATGACATTATGCTGATTGTAGGTTAGTATAAGATGTGAACATAATGTTAAGGAAACATTTGATGCATTTTTTGGTCATAAAGATGTTCCCTTCCACAGATGAAACCCTTGATAAACTTATAATTATTTTTTTAAAGTAATATCCATGACCAATATGTGCTTGAAGGTAATAAGGCATTATTTTTTTGTTTTAAAGGACAAAACATGCATATTTATTATAATGTAAGATTATAATGTTATGATTTTTGGCAAAGAATTCTACAAAGAGAAAATTTAAACATTCTATTTGATCTTAGGAACTTTTTTGTGCCCTGTATCATTATGATTCATTAATCGGGATCAAATTTAAAGTTTGTGTGTATTATTTTTTCAGCTATTGTATTAACATTACTGTATTAAGTACATGAAAACAATTTATTAAAGGATGCTTGTTGTGGTCGTGGATTGTTTTGGTGGTTGGAGGAGTGACCTTTAATGAACTAAGGTCACCATGCTTGTTTTATTGTAGCTTGGTTAATTACTGCAGCACTAAGTTAGGAAATTATGATCATTAAATAAAGAGCAAATAATTTATTAATCTTCTGGAAAGACTGTTTCTCACTCATATTTGTGTGACCTTTAGTGTTCTCTAATTCCAGGGCTTTACTTTTTTTGATGTGAAGCTTTAGTATTTACGTTAAGAGTACTAGGAATTTTTTGTTGTTGTTAGAAATGTAGGCAATTTCTATGTAAAATTTGTCTGATGGCAGATTAACTTATAATTCGTGGATGTCTCATGTAGTAATTTTGTTTGTGTCTGTTTTGTGGTAAAGAAACTGAATATGTAAATGCTTTTACTGTGCAATGATTTTTCTAAACAGAAGTAACAAAACAGTTCCATGGAATTTTCGTAGGGTATCATGCTTGTGTATGATGTGACTAACGACAAATCATTTGAAAACATCAAGAACTGGATAAGAAACATCGAAGAGGTAATAGTAACAAACTATATTGTGAATCTACGGATATGAAATTCACTTTATGCCTTATAATAAAACTGTCTTTTTTTCAAGTGTGCATTATTAAAAAATATGTCTGTTATCATGAGGTTGTTCAGTTTACTTATTTTAATAAAATTGTATTTCTGAAAATTAATATATTTCTGTTTATTATTAACTCACTTGCTTACCATAAAGGTGTACTTCATACTCCAACTGTTTCTATTCCTAGGGATCACATGAGTGCACTTTGGTAAGAGTTTAGTTTGAAGAGTCTTTTCTTCAGTGAGATATAAAATAAACCAATCAAAAATAAAAGTTTTGAGATTTCATCAGTTTTCTTAATTTTCCCTGGTTTCTGGCAATATATAAAAAAAAAGAAATTAAAGCTGACATAAACACTACATAATGGTAACTGGGGAATTATTTTTTGGGTTGTCATGAATAATTTTACCTTGCATATAGAAGAATATGAAATTATATTCATAGTTGTAAAATTATTTCTTAATGTGCTTATATTAATCAATTTCATTTAATTTATGATTCATATGAAAATCTTAAATTGTGTTTTTATTGAATGTTATTAATTTTAATCTTGCTGGTAATTTATTCAATCTACTGTGAATTTATACAAAATATCAAGGGTCTGTCTAAAAACAGTACTACTATTTATTTAAAAAAATTGCATTGTAAATTTTATTATCTTAACAAATTCACTCCCAAGGTCATATTTGTGGAATTTCACTTTGGCCCAACTTATTTTTTTTTTACTAAAGAGTAATTTTTTGCAAGATTTAGGGTTATTAGTTATAAATATGCTCAAGTGACATGGTCCTGGAACTAAATGGACTTTCATAGAGGCCCATGTCACTCTATTTTTTTTAAATTAACAAAAAACATAGGAAGCATTATATAACATTTTTTTTTCTATTTTCTTTCCATATTTTTCAGGATTTCATTTTTGTAATAAATAACCCAGTTGAGAAATAAGATAAAAATTATTTTTGGAAAGGATTTACAATTCAAATGTTTCTTCTGTAATATATATATATATATATAAAATCAATTTTTTGTATTTTATAACAATACATTTATATACAAGTAAATTTTTTCTGCCTAAACATTATTTTAAAACCACAGCAAAAGCTTAAGAATAAGCCTTACGAATCAGACTCAAATAGCCTCTTACAAATTTAAAGTACTGTGAATCACATTTGCACACATGGACTTAACAAAATATTGTGCGTCACTCATATGTGAATAACACAGTACATTACTGTAAAACCACGTCACTTATATATGAGTGATGAGGGAGCGAAAGTGTTAACTGAAATGAGTGTTTATGATTACCATTTTTGATTATTTCAACACTTTGATTAATCAAAATTATGATGAGATAGATTATCAAGGAAATAACCAATTAATCAAAATTAGCATTTCTGATTATTACTTGCAATTACTCCAAGTAATCAAAATATTGCTGTTATGTTTTGTTTGTTAAGCACAACCCTGGATAATGGGGGTATCCAAGTTTTTGTTTATTTAACTTTGATGATTGGGTGGGTGGGGTGGGCTCATGATTCAAGGGTCTTGGGTTTGATTCCCATTGCTACTAAACTTGTTTGCCCTGTCTTTATTATGTCAAAGCCACTAAGACTATTTGCCACTGTCACTAATTTTGAAATGCTGACTAAAGGGAAGGAAACCAGCTGGCAGCACCTGCTAATGAGAAACACTGGGTCATCAATTAATCAATTAGCAAATACTACTAATTACCCTGCTCTACTATACATATATCACCAATTTTCATTTATGACTGTTATGGTGTAAATCAGATTACAAGCAACTGATTTGTAATTATCAATTTTATCTTAATCTTAAAACTGATTATTTTTATTCACTTATTTGTCTTCATTATTCTTTTTTTATGTTTTAATTAACGTTAGTATCATTCACATGAAATTTCAAACTAGCAAGTTATTATCCCATAGCAATAACCACAAAATTAAGTTAAACAAGTTTATGTAAAAAAAAAATACAAAAAAATCACAAAACACTAGAAAGACAAACATACATAATTTGGACAAAATTACAATTCTAAAAAGCACCTGGTTGGGTAAAACTTCATGATGATTACCTCCCCTGCTCTTGATAGGTTCACTACTGATGACACTTTCTTCACTCAATACAGGCTGACTGTTAGTATCACTAAAGTCTCCCCCCATTGCATCAAGAAGACTGAAGCTGTCCAACCCTATAAAGAAAGGATAGCACAGCTTCAGTACGAGGGTTATATGTATATATTTAATGTGAGGTTTCCATAGAGTGAGAAATTTCTCTGACATCGCATCATAAAAACCATCAACACACATTGGACAGGTAATAAATTAATCACAGAATTAACTAGATATACAGACATACTTTATCAACTCTTATACACAATATTATTTATTAAGAACACGTGTACTCTACTTCACAAAAAGCTCACAGATTATTAAATTATTATAATATGCATACTCTAGGAAGGATTAGACATTAAAGTGTGAAAAACAAATAACCACTTGTGATAGTTATAAGTTACTAAATAACTAACGAGCATACCTCAGGGAGGATTATCGAGTATTAAGTACATGTACAAATGCATTTTATAGAATACTGTAAAATACTAAATTGAGTGTATATATATCTATCTATGTGTGTATATATATATATATATATAT